GAATTAAAAAGCTGGTAGCTCTCAGGACTCTTTCTCAAATAGTCTCAATTGAGCGGCCTAGTCTTGCCTGAAAAGTATGCCATACTCAAGAAATGACTCTCAGGAAAGGAAGCTAGGGTGAGAATCAGGAAGAAAGAATCCTAAAGTGAACCCCAATGGTGAAAAGTGAATTCCAATTATGTGTCTTAGGAAGTGTTAAATGTTACTGAGGGAAGGGGATTTAAGGTGAGGAGGCATGTACTAAATCCTGGGTTTGGGGCTGTACCTACTCTAATGGATATTGTGGGGTATTAGAAGATCTCTCCTCACCATAGGAATACTCATTCCACAGCTCTGGGATTATCAGCTCTTAGGGAATCTGCTTAAATTAAAGGCTGTTACCTAACTCATGATTCATACCCTCCACAGGGAAAGGGGATAAAAAACTGGCTCAACTCTAAAGAGTCATCCCAGCTCCAGAATTCCCATAGGATCAAGTGAGGTTTCTGTTGCTGTTGTGCACCCAGTGAACTTCTTTCCCAGTCAACTTGCTTCTTTCCTTTCCCTCAGGTTATGATCCTGAGAACAGTCCAATAAACTCTTGTATGAAAATTGCAATTTCATAATATATACTAAGGAACAAATCCCAGACAACAACTTCACAAATTTCCAAAAAGGCAGTTTTATCAGTCTCAGTTTGCAGATGATAAAATTACACCTTGGAAATCAAGCAATTTCCTCATGGACATAGAACTGGTAAGTGGCAAAGTCCTGATATTAAACTAAGAATGTGCAGCCTCAAGATCTATGATTCTTTCACTCCAATCACTGGTTTCAGTGAATCATAAATAATAAAATGGAGATTAAACATTTTCAGGATGTGAAAATAGGAAGATAACCCAGCTGTTATTTGGGCAAGATTCCCTTTATGCCCTGGCTTTCCCAAAGCCCTGTTATTCTGACTACAGTCCCTTTTCTTGTTATCTCGTTCGACATTGGTTACTAAATGTTTGTTTTCTTCTATTAGCCCATAGCTTCCTAGTTCTGTTTGCCTAGTTCCTTATAAACTTGAGCCATCTGTTCCTCTCTGGGTGAGTGATTTTTTTTCACTCTACTTTTTTTTTTAAATAAGGAAAACCAAACCAGCAAATATTTTGCCATTATTCTTATCATCCTTCTTTTCCTACTAATTCTCATGACATTGTCATCATCAATATGAGGACACTGAGAAGTTACAAGGACCAAAATGGTGGCCATTTTGAAATTAATTCATAACTTTAAATTATGTCACATGATATCAACCACAAATTTATCATGTTTAGATTTACAAGCATGATCAAAGTGAAGAAATAAAGCATTGCAATAAATCAAACAGGAGTTTTAAATACTTCAAAATCTATGGATTTGATTTCCTGTTCCACCATATGCTAGCTATATAATCTTGAGTAAGTTGCTAAACTACTATGCCCAATCTTCTCATCTATAACATGGAGCAAGTAATATTAATTTTGTGTTTTTTGCTGATATATATGATTGTTCAGTTGTATAAATGTAACAAATGACCTCTTAAAATTATCTATTGATGTGTAGAAGTTAGAAGTAAATAAATTTGGTTGCTGATAAAAAAATTTTCATGCTATTTATAAAAATTTAACAAAAGGATAAGTTGAGTTCTAAAGGAAAAAAGCCCTAGGAAAGTCTCAGAACTTTGATTTGGCTTTTAAGGATAATTTTTTTGTTATTTATTTTATGCATATAAGAGCTGGGCTTTAGGCCAGAGGTGGGGTGGGGGGCGGTGAGAGGACTCACTGGAGACAGAGTGGGGAGCAGAACATGCAGATCTACTGAAATACTCTGCTGAGGGGAGCAGTGGGAGAGACAGGAGAGGTCTGCTCCCACCATGTGGGTCTGTTCCCTGCCTGGGGATGGAACTTGTGCTGCAGTGGCTACTGATATGATAGCTTCATAGTGAGGAGACTTAAACCCTTGCATCACCAGTGAGGCCCAAGGGATAAATTTTTAAGTTGAACTCTGATATGGAAAACTGGTTGCTCAATTATGAATTATGTGAAACTGAGTGAACATACAACATAATTTCAGGATGTTTGTCCTCTGTGGAATAAAAAAGGAAAATACTAATCAATTCTTCTTCCTTAGTAGTCATATATTTGGACACGTGACATTGAGAGAGAAGTTCTGCATATGCATGCATATAGAAAATGTGTAAAGAACACCTGCAAATGAGTAACCAAATGCCAAACAACCCTATAGATAACAGAGCGAGATGATTCAACAAGTAATTCATAAAAGGTAATATTTACATGACCAGAAAGCATATGCAAAAATATTCAGAATTGTTTAGTCATTATAGAAATAGAAATTAGGGCCTCCTCTGGTGGCACAGGCAGTTGAGCGTAGCACTGTGAAGCTGTCCGCAGCCTCTGCAGTGACGGTTCAATCCCGGCAGGCCAGCAAGGGTCCCACATGGCACAGCAGACCTCTCCTGTCTCGCCAGCTGCTCCACTCAGCAGTGTATTTCGTCAGTCTGTCTGTTCTGTTCCCCTCTCTGTCTCTGGTGAATCCTCTCACCCTCCCGCGCATCTGGCCTATACCCCGGTTCTTGTATAAATAAATAAATAAATCTTTAAAAAAAAAAGAAAGAAATAGAAATTAAAAGCACAAAAGATTTGGCCATAGTATCACCAGAATTGCCAAAATTTGGAACTGAAAAAAAAAAAAGTTGGTATGATTGTAGAACAGCTGGAGCTCTTTTGCATTGACAGCTACTATGTAAGTAGGTGAAACCCTTTGGAAAACTGGCATACATTCTAAAGCTGAACTCTATTACCCAGAAATCCATTTCTAAGTATTCAAGATGAGTACCTACATAAGTTCACCAAAAGGCACTCAGAACTAAATTCATAGCTAAATGACTATAATAGTTCTAAACCAGAATTTCTCAACTTCAGCACTATTGATACATTGGATTGAATTATACATTGGGGAAAAGGGGAAGACAGCTTTCTGTGATTTGAGGGAAGATTAGTGGCATCCCTTTTCTCAGTAGATACCAGTAGCAACCTTCCCTCATAATAGACAAAAATGTTTCTAGACACTTCCAAATGTTCTATGGGGAGCAAAATCACCTCCAGTTGAAAAATCACTGTCCTAAAATGAAAACAATCCAAATATCCTTCAATAGTGTGAGCAACTAATTGAGAACATATTAATTCATTACAATATTACACATTAGTGAAAATAAATAACCCAATGTTATACTTAACAACATAGATGAATATTACAAAGTATGTTGGGCCAAAAATATCAATTGCAATAGGGCTAATGCCATAATATTCTGTCCATACAACATTAAACAGAGATAAAACTAATTTATGGTTATTGAAATCAGAATAGTGGTGAACTTTGGAAGAGGCTTAAAGCAAGCTTCTAGGATGTTGGTAAGATGATTGATCTCATTGTTACTATATTTAATATACCAATTGTAAAAGTTTTAGAGCTGTACATTTATGAGTTGCCCACTTTTCTGTATATATATTTGAATAAAAGATGTTTCCCCCAAACAGAATTTTCTTGTATGTGTTTCTATCAGATTATTTTCTTTTAAAAAATTTTGTTGCAGTAACATTAGGTTACAGTACTGCATGTGATTCAGAAGTATAGAATCATACTTCTGATGTATGTTAACACACCATACCCACAAAAGCAACCACAGTCCTCCACCATAGTTCACTGAGCCCCCTCCACATTTTGCTCTCCACTCTTCCTTCCCCCCATGGTAACCTTAATTCTGCAGACAGATTTCTTGGGTTTGTTATTTGTTTGATTTTGACTGACACTTTATTTTGATTTTTTAATTTTTTTAAAGATTTATTTATTTATGCGTAAAAGAACTGGGGCACAGGCCAAAGGTGTGGGGGTTGAGAGGATTCACCAGAGAGAGTGGGGGCAGAACAGGCAATTCTACTGACATACACTACTAAGGGGAGCAGCAGGTGAGACAGGAGAGGTCTGCTGTGCCATATGGGTAGCTCCCTGGCCCGCTGGGGATCGAACTCATGCTGCAGTGGCTAGCGAGAGCATGATAGTGCTGTGTCTTTAACTCCTGCACCACCAGGAAGGCCCTGACCCTTTGTTTTGTTTCTTTATATTCCATATATAAATGAAAGCATGTGATATTTGTCTTTTTCCTTCTGATTTATTTTGCTTATCATCAGCCTCTCCAGTTCCATTCATATCTTTTTTTAAAGATTTATTTATTTATACAAGCACTGGGTATAGTCAGAAGAGAGGGAGGATGAGAGAATTCACCAGAGCCAGAGTGGAAAACAGAACAGGGAGACTGACAAAGTACACTGCTGAGGGGAGCAGTGGTCGGCAGGAGAGGTCTGCGCACCATGTGGGACCCTCGCCCAGTGGCCAGGGGTGGAACTTGTCCCGACCCGCGGGATTCGGAGGCATGGAAAGAGAAGGGCTGAGGATTGAAATGAGGGGCTTGAGACGACTTGCCGCTAGCGGTTGCTTCTTTATTTTTCCTTTTTCCTTTTCCTACTTTTACATGTTTTTTCCTTTCCCTGTCCTACTACCTTCCCTGGCCTTCTCTATGCTCCTCTCTCAGTACGTTTCTCAGTCTCCTCTCTCAAAGTCTCTACACAGTATCCTTTCCACAGTCTCCTTCTCGAAGTCTCCTTGCCTTATCCTCTATGCAGTCCCCGCAGTCTCTCTCCTTATCCTCTACGCAGTCTCTCCAGTCTCTCTCCGCTCTCTCCCGTGGTTCCCTTCTTATACCCTCGTAGCTCCTCCCATCGTACCTCCCAGTCCCACGTGATTTACTGGAAACGCAGAGGTTTCTCAGAAGGCGAAACAGGAATCGAAACCTAACTTGCGAGCATGCGCAACACGGCGCATGCCCCAGGCGGCTCCGGACATCTCCCCCTTTTTTCTTTTAAATGAGACACCTGGCCTGTCTTAGGTTGGCATATCCCATAACCACCTTACCCGTCATCGCTAATCCGGCGCATTTGGTCCGGACCGCTGTCTTAGGTTGGTCTGGACGGGCTACGCTCTTACCCGTCTTTGGCTCACAGGTTCTCTAGGGCTAAGTTGACCCATCCGGATGCCACTGGGGAGTCCTGGTCAAGTACCATGGCGCCAAGTACTTGCCTGACCACAATAGCACGTTCTTTGTTTCGCTTCCATAGCTGACGGAGAAACCATACACTGAAGGCACAAACAGCCAAGAGCTAAGGCTATCACCCTGCCCCAAGCTTGCAACTCTGAGAGGAGTCCTCTAAACAAGGCAATGACACCCTCACCCTTAACAGGGGTAACACAAATAAAACTGTACAGAGGGTTACAAGGTATGTGAGCAGTTAACAAAAGTGTGTCTATTTCTTCTTACATGAGCTGACTGCTGACTAAGCGTAAAAAGTCCATTTCATAAATGTCCATTCATATCTTGCGGTGTTGGTAAAGCAGAAGCAACATTGGCAGCTGATGCACTATCGCCCATCGTACTGACATCTGGGATGCTTGTGTCATCAAGGTTAGCAGGGTCAGGTGTATTGACAAACCGAACCAATCGAGCAGGAACCCATCGGGGCTCTTCCGCGTCCTGTGGGAAAAGACAAATGTTGCCAGGCAGCTGTATTAATACTGGCACAGGTGGTTGCCACTCATTATTGACCTGGTCCTTCCATCTTGCTTGCAACATCGTGACCTGCCGAGGGTCTGGCAACCAGTGCTGATCAGCAGCTGACTGCCCCTGGGTATCTAGGGTCAAAAAATTAAGGGTAAAGAGAACTGTAGTCAAACGGTCCCTGGGGGAGTGTTCTCCCCGTTTGTTTTAAAAGCACAGTTTTCCAGGTGATAGGAATGGGCGTGGGTGGAGGCCTAATCACAGCGGCCCCTAGAAAAAAGGGTAACCGAGCCCTTGTTTATCCCCCGCTTCCCTCGTCACTTCCTGTAGATTAAAAGAGGGAGACCCTTGCTGTTGTTTACCCAAACCTTGTCCAGGCACGTAGCCCTGATTAATCATCATTTGGCCAGCTGGACGATCCGTGACTAATGAAGCCCCCATCTCCACCAGAACATCTTGTCCCCAGAGGTTCATGGGGATTCCGGGGAGGACATAAGGTTGAAATTGCCCACTATGGCCCTCACTGTCCCTCCAGCAGAGCACAGTAGTACTCCTGGAAGGATTTTGGGATATTCCAAGACCCTGCAAGGAGGTGTAAACGGTAGCCACGGGCCACTGTGAAGGCCAATGCTCCTTGGATATAATGGAAGTGTCTGCCCCAGTATCCAAAAGGCCCTTAAATGTTCTGCCATTAATTATCAATTCAATTAGAGGCCTCTTATCTAATGTCAGAGCCAAATTCACAAGAGGGTTGCCTGAAGAGCCAAAACCTTCAGCACCGTGAATTACACGGTGGACTTTTCCATCACTGGCTAATCTTGGTAATGGTATAATTTGAGCTATTCTGTCACCAGGGGATATAGAGATAACTCCATGAGCAACAGATGCAAGAATCTTAATTTCTCCAGTGTAATCAGTATCAACAAGGCCTGGGATGACCTGAAGGCCTTTAAGGGCACTGGAGCTGCGGCCAATTATTAGCCCCACAATTCCATCAGGGAGAGGACCATACTGGCCCGTAGGTAAATATTGCACTCCCATGCTAGCAGTAAGAATAGTATATATGGAGACACTCAAATCGAATCCGCCACTTCCTGGGGAGGTGCGGAAGAGGTCAGAGAAAAACTTTGCCTTATTTGGGGATTGCTCTGAACTGCCCCTATAATTGGCTGAGAGGGTTGCCGGGGCTGCACCCTCCCCCACGAGTTTCCCGGCTGCCCTCCCATACGGGGGTCAGCAGATTTCCCTGATAATCTGTCTTAGACCAACACTCGTTTGCCAAAGGACTACCCTTTCGGCACCGTGGACAAACTCCTGGTTTCTTTTGAGGGTTAGTAGTTCGTGGTGCCGTAGCACCCCCGCTCCGCCCCAAAGACGGGCAGGAGGCCTTTATATGCCCTTGCTGACCACAAGCGAAACGGACACGGTTTCGTGGTCCAGTGACTGGACCATGCAAGGCCTGAGCGATCACTGCACCTGTAACTTGCACTTCACAAATATCCTTACAAAGTCTCACATAATCATCCAAACTAGCCCTAGCTTTCCAGGGTCTAATAGCTTCCTGACACCACTTATTAGCATTTTCAAATGCAAGCTGTTTAACTATCGGTAGGGAGGCATCAGTGTTACCTAGAATTCAGCCAGCTGCTGTCATCAATCTTGCTAGGAACTCTGCAAATGGCTCTGTCAACCCTTGAATGACCTTTGTTAATTGAATGTCGGCTCCTCCTCTATCTCCTATTGCCTTCCAGGCTGACCGGCCAGCTACTGCAACTTGGGCAAATACAGCCGGATCATAATCCTTTTGTCAGTCGTTACTATCGTATTGCCCTTCTCCTGCTAACATATCCTTGTTTCTAACCGGAAATCCAGCATCAGCATTGAGTTTAGCTGTATGGGTGCAGTTCTCTAAAAATATACCCTTCCATACCAAATAATCCCCTGGGGAAGTCACCGCTCTGACTAGTGCCTTCCAATCATTTGGAGTAGGATTCATGCCAATCCAGCTATCCAATAAGGTATGCGTAAAAGCACTCTGGAGACCATACTGAGTAACTGCCTCCTTTAAAGCCTTCAAATCTTTAACAGATGTGGAGACATGTACTCTAGTATGCACCCCTTGAGGATCTGTCCCTTCCACGACTGGATAAGCATAATTAGGGGCCTGGGAAACAAGGACTCTTTCCAACACAGAGCACAGTCTCTCCATTAACGGAATATCAGCCCTATCGAGTGTTCTAGGAGGTGACTCAGGAGGTGGCTCCCCAGGTGTTTTCCATCTCCTTTTATGCTTCCTTGGCTTATAACAACCGAGGCCTTTCTCATCCTGTTCCTCCTCTCCTCCTGACTCATCGGTAGGATAATCTAGGGGAGGGGCTGTTGGTATTTTTTGAGTAGAGGAAGGGGGACTTACCGCTGTAGAACTCACAATGGAACTTCTATCTTCTTCCTCCGTTTGTCTCACTGTCCTGATGGCCTCAGTGGCTAACTGAGCGGCAGCAGTGCCACCGGCATTAAGAGCATCTCCCACCACTCCCCAGACCGTCAAAGTAGTGCCAGGAAGAGACTCAAGGCCATATAATTGCTGATGCAAGACAATATCTCTTTTTACCTTATTCCAATTGTCACTATCAACCTGATCCTGCTCCAGAAACCATTTACTAGTGATACTAAGTGTCTCTACAAATCCTTTAAGAATTTTTCTACTGAGAGGAACCCCAAACCTTTTTAGGAGAGCTTCCAGGGAAATAACTAACTGCCCCTTGGACATTGAATTGCCCATGATCCCAACTACCTTACCTTACTTTACTTTACTTGCCGGCTCACCACAGCTGGTCCTTCAGCGGTTCCTTCGTTCTTTTCGTGCCCCACGTTGGGCGCCACCTTTCCCGACCCACGGGATTCGGAGGCATGGAAAGAGAAGGGCTGAGGATTGAAATGAGGGGCTTGAGACGACTTGCCGCTAGCGGTTGCTTCTTTATTTTTCCTTTTTCCTTTTCCTACTTCTACATGTTTTTTCCTTTCCCTGTCCTACTACCTTCCCTGGCCTTATCTATGCTCCTCTCTCAGTACGTTTCTCAGTCTCCTCTCTCAAAGTCTCTACACAGTATCCTTTCCACAGTCTCCTTCTCGAAGTCTCCTTGCCTTATCCTCTATGCAGTCCCCGCAGTCTCTCTCCTTATCCTCTACGCAGTCTCTCCAGTCTCTCTCCTTATCCTCTACACAGTTTCTCCAGTCTCTCTCCTTATCCTCTACGCAGTCTCTCCAGTCTCTCTCCTTATCCTCTACGCAGTCTCTCCAGTCTCTCTCCTTATCCTCTACACAGTCTCTCCAGTCTCTCTCCGCTCTCTCTCGTGGTTCCCTTCTTATACCCTTGTAGCTCCTCCCACCGTACCTCCCAGTCCCACATGATTTACCAGAAACGCAGTGGTTTCTCAGAAGGCGAAACAGGAATCGAAACCTAACTTATGAGCATGCGCAACACGGTGCATGCTCCATGCGGCTGCAGACAGAACTGGCTCTGCAGAGGTTGCGGGCAGCTTCGCAACCCAGCACTCAACCGCGGGACACTGGGGAGGCCCTCCATTCATATTATTAACAAGGATATTTAGTCTGATACATTACTCCAAATGGAAAACCTGCAGATGCTAATTTTTTTCATTGCTTTGTCCATTCTCCAAAACAGCACCTTACTACTTTCACTGAATATGTAACCCAGTTATATGTCATACTTCTGAAGAGTACAATCCAGTATAAATTTTTAGAATTAAAATGTATTTTTTTTATATTTCACACATTGTGAAACATGAAAATGAGGGCTGCCTTCCACATTTGGCAGTCACTAAACTAAAATAAATAAATTCTATCTGAAGTCACACAATGTATATAATATTGTACTTGATATTCTAAGACTTTATATAAATCTCTTTACTTAGGAATTAATTCATGTATTTTGACCCAATCTATAACCCAATGTAGTTATAGATTTATGTGATTTCAGACTGACTGAAAGCCTTGTTATTTAAAACACATATTCTTCAAAAAGCATTGTTCTTTGGAATCATACTATTTGAAATCTATTTCAGTTCTGAAAGCCCACTTTAAAATGAAAATATTTTTGTTTAGAAAACAATATCTTTATTAGTCATTTCATAGAATAAGTTAAAATTAACTCATTTACTAGTTAGGGGAAAAAGAGAGCACAAAAGAGATTAATTATATGTTACCTATGAGGAAGTAAGGAGAGAGAGAGAAAATTGAATAGAAAATGTCATGTGGTCATTTTAAAACCTGTGCACCAATTCAGTGACATTGCTCCTATCAAAAGATAAGATCTATTTTACCTCATCTTGAATCTCGGCTGGCCATAGTGACTAACCATGTATACCATGCCGCATTCAAGTAACAGAAGTGAATTTCCAGACTGTGACTTCAGGACTTGGGCAAAAAGGCCATGCAGACCCCATCTGGTTCTCCTGTGATGCTTGCTCAGAAGAAGTCAACCATCATGAAGTCTGACCACATTGAGAGAAAGAGAAGTAGGTTACAAAGGAGACAGTCCCGTTGATGGACCCAGTTACGTTCCCATCCATTCAATAACCAACATTGACTTTCAAACACCTGAGAGAGCCATCTTGGACAACTAGTCCAGACTAACATTTAGCTGACTGTAAACAAATCTGAGTATATTATACAAGAGATCCTAAGAAAGACTAGCCTACTCCATTCTTTCAGAATTACTGGCCCACAATATCATATGGAAAAGAAAATTGTTTTTAAGTTTCTATTTTGGGAAAGAATTTGATAAACAACAATTAAAATTAGAACAGGAACAGATATGAGATCCTCTCAAAGATGGTCATTCCATTCTGTTGAGCTCAGTAAGCATGTACTGAATCCCTACTAGTTGCCATACACTACACCAGGGCTTAGAGATTCCAAGATGATAAAGTCACAATCTCTGCTCAGCAGGGAAGTCAGCCATGTTGCAAATGTGGTAAGTGTGTTATGTACAAAGAACAAGAGATGTAAAAATGAAGCTACTTCCTTGATGCATCAGGGTGCTCTGTTTTTGAAGTTGTTCAATCAGGTTCAAATTCCAGTATTACTACTGTGTAATGCTGTGATTTGGGACTCATCATTTTAACCTCCACGTTTATCTTTCTATTCTCTTTTTAAAAATTTTTATCTATATTTTTTACATCATTGTTCATTTTTGGTACAATGTTTGATTTCTCCTCTCAAGTATAATCTCCATAAAGTCCCCAACACCAAGTCATCTATGCACCATTCCTATAGTCACTTGTGCTCTTCCCTCCCCTGTATCTATCCGTCTTCTTCCTCCTCCTCCTCTACTGCTGAATGTCTCTGATTTATAGTTTGCCTGATAGTTTTGTTTTTGCTTTGTTTGTTTGTTTTTCCCTGATCCCTTGTTTGGTTCCCCTATATTCCTCCTAAATGTGAAACCATCCTATATTTTTTTTCCTTCTGGCTTATTTCACTGAGCATAATCCCTTCCAACTCCATCTACATTGCTACAAATGGCTTGAGGTTATATTTTTGATTGCTGTGTAATATTCCATTATATATATAAATGACATCATCTTGATCCAGACATCTGTTTTGGGGCATTTAGTTTGTTTTCACAGCTTAGCTTTCGTAAGTAATGCTGCAATAAAAATAAGAGCACAGGTTTCCTTTTAAGTGAATGTTTTTGTGTCCTTTGTGTGGTATCCTAGGAGTGGAATTACTGGGTCATATAGTAACCACTGTTTCCTTTTCTATGGAATAAAATTCTCTTGATGTGAGTTTGGAATATAAAGCATGTGTTTTTGCCCTCATCTTTCTTTTTTGTTTGGATTCTGCTTGTCTACACACACCAGTGTTGTGTTCTCCTTGCTTAACACTCCAGTGTGAAGAGGACTGTCCCTTAAGGTTCAATTCAATGGATCAGCATGGTCAACCTGTGTAACAAGTGCCATAGATTAATGCCATATTCTAAATAATAGCCTTACCCATAACAAAACAAGCAAGCATGTTTTTCCCGTATGCCCTGTCTTTGTCCATTCTGGATACTACAAAAATACCTTAGATTTTATGGCTTATAAGCTATATATATATATATATATATATATATATATATATATTTCTCATTGCTCTGGAGGCTGGGAAATCCAACATCATGATATAAGCAGAATACAGTGTCAGGTGAGAGACACCTCCTAGCTCCTAGCTAGACACCTCCTAGCTCCTAGTTTATAGATAACTATCTTCTCCTAATGTACTTGAAGGGGTGAGGGAGCTGTTTGGGATGTCTTTTATAAGGCTACTAATCCCACTCATGAGGGATACACTCTCATCACCTAATCACCTTCCAAACACCCCATGTCCTAATACCAACAAATTGAGGATTAGTGTTCAATATTTGAATTTTGGAAAAGCAAACTTTCAGTCTAACACATGCATTGTTGTGGTTGTTGTTAATATTGTCTTCTTTCAATTGATTCAATATGTGAACAGGGGAACAAAAACGCTGTGTTCGACATCAACTGTGTTGGGCCAGAAATCTGAGAATAAGATCAAAATAACACATGGTGAGTCAGTGTCTAGTTAAGCCCAGGGCATAGGAATCTAAGATTTGAACTTGAGTAAGCACACAGCTTTGACCCTGGCAACTCGGAGAGGCTATTCTGAGTAACTGTTTCTAATAACTGAACATTTATTTAGTTTTATCTCTCATGACCAATGTGTGTGGCTTTTGACCTAATGTAAGCCATATGGAATTTTTCACCTTAGCATATGGCAGCTTTGCCCACAGTGAGCTGTCGTCTATATAGAGACAAAGCTGTATGCACTAGTGCTTTGGAAAACTGTGCAAAAACTTTAGAAAAGATATGGCATTCAGTGAGACACTGATATCTACAATTTGACCTTGAAATAGAAGGCATAGATTTCTTAAACAGTTTTAGCTGAGGTAAAAATTCAAGTTTAGGACAGAGATTTCCTCCATGTCCAGGAAAGACATGGGAAGAAAAATTAACTAGTGCTTTTAAATATCAAGGCAGCTGCATTCCAAGTATGCTAAAGACACTAGAGAGGATTTACCTGTAAATTATTAATGTCAAGTCTAGGTAGAAGCCTTAGATCCACTGTCAAAATTCCCTTCTGTTCTCATGGTTAAGGAACAGTGAGTGAGTAGCTTTGAGTGTGGGTAGCTTGTATGAAGGATGATTTTTTTACATATTACAAGGGTAAGTGAATGAACTTCAAAGAGGTGTAATCTTCTCCATAATGTTCAAAACTTCCCTACACTAAGAGAAATCTATAAGTTTTAGAGAAAGAAGGGAGGCAAAAAAAAAAAAAAAGCTACATAAAATGTTACAAACAAAACTGTTACATAGTTTCTTTTAAAAAAAATAAAAACTAAAACTAAAACCAAAAATGAGAGCACAGCTGTGTCTCATTCCTGTAGAAAAAGGAGATCCCAAAGAAATGGCCTGAGAACTTGGAATATTGAAGCAATGAAACAGAAAATTTGGTCCACATTAGGCTCCAAAGGCTTCAAAAACATCCACAGACACTGCTGAGCAACTTTCCAGCAAAAGTTAGGAAAAAACTATTCCCCAGGAGGTGGGTTTCACAAGTTTAAGCAAATGCATAAAAAGGAGTTGGCAGTACCCATGTGACATGTGACTGAAACACAGCGGAGCCCACTGTGAAGAACCCACCTCCAGGTGAGCGCTCTGTTCAGACGCAGGGAAAGCCTAAAGGAAATTACAATGGAATATGCTGAATAGTTAAAAAAAATGTATTTCAGATAAGATCTGCTTATTCAGTGCTCACCTTGGCAGATTGCTCAAAAATTCTTTTAGAGAACAAAGTGGGATTCACAATGTCATTACAGTAGACACATTGTGTCAATTAGCCACATAGTGAATAATTTCCCCCAACCGAGCATAAATTCATAGATTTTGAACTTAATCAAATGGTATTTATTAAATAAGGCAAAATTAAAGAAATGTTTCTTCCATATACCTTCTTTCCTTTAGAAAACATTTACTTCCCTGATTTTGGCAACTGAGAATGGCTTATTAGTAAAATCTTTACCTGAATTAACTGATTTCAAAGCTAGGAATTAGTTTGTTTCTAAACTCTGTAGGAGTGAGGCAGAATAATGATCCTTTTGACCAATTTCAGATGTGGCTACCAGAAGGAGCTTTTCTCCATTTCCTGTGTTCTGCCAGAAAATGAAAGGGACCACCCTAGTGATTCTGCACTCTCTGTGATTGAGAACATCTGCTCAACCCCAACCTTTAGGACACATTATAGGAAGCATTCTGGGGACTAAAAGGGGTTTCAGTGGGGGACAAGAAGTTATGCGCCGGCCAACTCTCAAAAATGACTCCTGAAAACACTGAACAACTTCCATGTCATCTCACTGGCAACCACTAATTGTAAGGAAAACAGGAGAGGTCTGCTGTGTCATGTGGGCAGCTCCCTGGCTGGGGATCGAACTTGTGCTGCAATGGCTGTGGACAACTTCATAGGTTGCGTCTTAATCCCTTGCACCACCAAGGAAACCTGGGAAATACAGTTTTTTTGTTAAACTTATTGACACCCCAAATAAGGCTGGGTTATGGTTATTGAGGAATATGGGAGAAGCAGCTAGCAATTCCTGCCAATAAATTATTAACAGAAGTTACTGAGGGATGCTTCAGGAGAGCTTTTGTTTTCCTGATAAAATAGAAACAGAAATATTGTAACCTGTATAGCCACATGCCCTGTCCTCTTCTTTTAGTGTTGGGTGTGAATTGATGGCAAGAGTTGGAGTAGCCACCTTGCAGTGAAAAGATAAAGACAAGTAAATCATGAGGTTTCTGTCCCTGTCATTGCCAAGCATTGAACCAATACTAACAGCTGCTTTCATGGGCTTGTTATATAAAAATCACATGTTTACTGTTGCCTACAGACCAACATATTCATAACTTGCATTAGTTCTAAATATTGTTTTTTGGATTTTACTTTAATGCCCCCAAATAGATGAATGAATCAAAACAATGTGATAGATATACATGATAGAATACCACTCAACTATCAAAAAAAGATAAACTCACTTCATTTGTGGCAACATGGATGGAGCTAGAAAGGATTATGCTAAGAGAAATAAGTCAGATGGAAAAAGATAAATATCAGATGGTTTCATTTATATGAGGAATATAAAGACACAGAACAAAGGATTAGGAAAAAGACAAAACTTGCAAGCTAACCATAGATTTGAGGCATACAGCAGGGAAGGGGGAGAGAAGAGTCAAGCGTCAAGGGGGATAATGTAAGGGATGGTGAGATGAAATTTTTGTAGTTTAAATGGACCTTTCACATAACTTTTGTTAAAGAGTTTTTCACTTTAAAGTCAAAAGAGAATCCATTATAATCAGGTATTGTTTAATGATGTTTCAGTGAACCATAAACTACATATGATAGTGCTTCCAATAGACTATGCCATATAACA